TTGCTGGAAGGTTGAAACAAAATAAATTTTAATATTCATTCACATTTCGATATTTCTCAACAAAGAAGAGTTGTCAATTTAAATTATCTTAAAATTCTATTTTCAACAGTATTGTAACATTTCCCAATTTTCAAAAATAGTCAACTTATTAATGTATGGACAAAATTTGTTGAATATCGGTTATAAGAAATTATATTTCAAGGAATATTACAAGAAATATTTCACCCGATATCAAATAGTTAGCATGACTTATGGTTAATTTGATAGTAATTTCATTATGCCTCTTTTGAAGCGAATATTCCATTATAAAAATCATTCGCCATGGACTGATCGCCAAAATCAAGCTCTCGCAGATTTTGGCGAGTCATTATCGATGTGTGAGGCCTGGCGCTGTTTCAATGGAACACAATTTCTCTCCTTTTACCGAAAGCTGCTAGTTTCTGGGCCATTGTATCCTTCAAACGGTCCAATTGTTGACAGTACAGTTCCAAGCTAAGAGTTTTGCCGTAGGGGAGCAGCTTATATTATAGTAGATGATTCGCTGTCAAACACACCAAACTCGCATCAAAACCTTTCTGGCCGATTTTTTGACCACGGTTTTAGCAAGCTCACCGCGATTCGGTCAAGGAATTACCAAAGTGGCGATTTTTTTTTAGCACGAAATCTTAGTTTTTTCCAAGACCAACTAGATTTACCCGATCAGACATATCAACGCGTTATATGGATAACTTATGTTTTATCTCACTTTGTCATTTTGAAAAATCAGAAATTTTGTTTCCAGATAACTGTGTAGTGTGACGTTCAAGAGTAAGTAATATAAACAGATTAGATTATAAAGGCATCGAAATGGATATATTGGCAAAGATTAAAATGCTTTTTGGAGGGAAGTCTTGGAATTGGCCAAGATCCTAAAATAGTAAGCACCAAAAAGAAATTAAATCCACTTAACATATGGTAGTTATGAAAATATGAATTATGTTTTATGTAATTTTTTTGTAAATGTCAAACATTATTTGTCTTATAAATTCCTATATTCCGATACATATTCAGACCAGAGCTACTATTTTGAAAAATGTGTAATTCTTGGCGATAATGCAAATGTAATGCTTATGGTTTGTTTGTTATCCTTTAAATTTTGCCTCGTTTGATATACTATAAATGCAAATAATTTATATTGATAAGATAAATTTTTGATTTCAGGTATAAAAATATATTCTTTTGTTGAATAATATTTATTTTTAATTAAAATGAAACTGTAATCAAATGTCTTTCAAATTCCTAACATAGAAATCACTTACCTCAACACACTTCAAATATTTATTATGAATTAAAAATTGCATTTAGGATTTTAATTTAAAACACATTTTAAGACTTTATTTTAAATTTTACATGTTTACAACATATGATCTTCCACAAATTATTTTTATTTTACATTGAAAAATATATTTACAACATGAAATACTTATACCAGTACAAGTAATACAAATAATTTTATTTATTTATTTATGTTATTGAATTTTTAATACTAATTTCGAAATCTTAAAGTTAAGAGAACCTTAGAAAAATTACTTAGGCCTTATATTCAAAAGCTTCTCTGACTTGGTTTGCATATGCGTGTAGTGAAATAACATTTACGGATTTGTATCTTATTTAGGTACAATAAAATACCGAATCTAAATATGGTAGATATGATTTTAGTTCTTCTAAAAATAATCTTCGTTATTTTCTGTACTTTCCTACTACAATGTAGTTCTAGGTACTAAAAATCAAAATAATCTTAATTATTTTAAAATTTATCACTTAATAAGCAAAGTATTTGTTAATTAATGTAGAAGTATTTGAAATTCTTTTTCCATTGACTTAAGTTTATCTCATTTTAAAAAATATTGTATTAAAGCTTTTGAGATAAAATTGCAAATACAATATTTTGTATAAAATATACCTTACATTAAAATTTAACCTTATACTCCACATGAATATATAAATTCTTTTATCCTTTTATAGTTCAATACTGCTTAGTCCTGTCATTGCAGTTACAACAAAATTTTTATTACATTTTATCGCATGAAACATGAAAACTTATGTGACGTTTTGACTTAAAGTACATTTTGGCGCTTTCGCTCAGCTCAGCTCCTATAAACGCTGTTGTTGGTTCAGCTGGAGACGTTGTTGTGTTGGGTGTAGTGCCCATTTCGCAACCGTTATAACTTTCATTACTGTTGTTGGGACCTTCTTGTGGTCTACGGTTGTATTTAATAAAATCTCACATAAGTTGATGGTGCTGATGTGAGCAATAATCGCTTATGTCGGTGGTAGCACTTCCGGCGCCATTTTTGCTACCGTTTGGTATCATGGTTATGGTTGTGTCCTGTAAGCGGCTTTTATGCAAACAGAATGACAAAGACAAAAATCAATATAAAAAATTTGTGATTTCTCAGTATGTACTGCCTATTGATGAATATTGAATACTAACCTTCTTATCGTGCTCTGATGATGGCAGGAATGTCTCGACTGATAGCGTTTCGATGCGGTGCTGGTCAAGGAAGTGTTCCGATGCATGCAAAGTGTGTCATGTTGGTGACGTTTTTTGTTATTAACATTTGTGCCTTGACAGAAGAGATATCTGCGATACCATTTTTGTGCGGATATGACAAAAAAAAAGAAAGACATTAAGGATAATAAAGGTATAGGGTGTGCTAGGATCATATGCTTTCAATGTGCTTAAATTCATGCACTTCGTTTAATACTTACAAGTTATATATTTCTACAATGAATTTTTGCAATTACATGATAATATAGAATACGATTACCAAAGACACTACACCGTCTTTTGAAAATCAAACCTTTCTTCAGTAGAGGTTTTATTTTATTCTGAACACATTAAACAAAATTTATTTAAAAAAATTGATTTTAAGGTTGGTAGGAATAGGTTTTGTACTCGATTTTGAATCTAATATCTTTTAAACTATTCTATTAAATAACACAATCTGTATCAGAATATTTATCTTAACTAAATAGATCATAAAGGTGATTTTGAAGAAATTTTTTGGAATGTTGTTAAACTGAATGTCGTAAAAAGACTATTTACTGAAAGAGTCCGACTCTTAGGCACTTTTTTTTAAATCAAAAAATTAATATATATATATTAATATATATATATTGTTATCTAGAATAATAAAAATGTCTCCAAGAAACAAAAGAAGGGAAAATGTGCAATACTCTAAAAATGAAGAGAATTGGTAAAGCAACAAAAGGAGCAAGGAAACACCAGAGCAACGTAGTGAGTGTATTAAGATAATACAGAATAATTGTTGAATAAGTTTCTTATATTTCCATACCAAGTTACATATTCAAAAATTTAAAACAATAAATTCATTTGAGATTCAAGAAAGTTGGTGAAGTTGGAGGTGAATATATGTTTTGAGCAAACTCAAAATTATGACTAAAGATAATTACGACAAAACTACATTATATACTACCTCAAATAATTTATTTTTTTAAAAAATCAAACAAAATCAACTAAAAAAGGTCTTATAATTATATACTTTACTGTTTGTTGTTTTAATTTTAAATAGTCCTATTTAGATATTTTATTAATTTTTGAAATTTTTGATCACATAAACTTCTATATATTTAGTATAGCTAATCGCAATTAACTGGTATACAAAAATTATCCTATAATATAAATAGTTCCCAGTTACCGTAATGTATTTCAAGTGAAAATTTTATAAAATTTCATTTATGTTCAAAGCTGAAATTTTGCAAATAAATCAATCAATTCAATTGAAGTTCACTTTAGAATTTTGTTAAATATTTATATACGATAGATACTATTTCTATGCCAATCGTTGGTTAGTAAGCAAAATTAAATACATTTTTGTGGAAAATTGGATTAGTTATTATATATTTGTGCGTTATGTGTATGTAATTTAACACTTGATTTTATCATACTTCAGGATTGTAGTGAATTAACAAATACCTATTAAAATGTTTGCGAAAGGCTCCACTGACGAAGTACAGCGCCACAGGATTTGCGCAGCTGTTTGCAAATGACATGCAAAACCCGACAATTCGCAAAATATGCCAAAAAGAATTGTAATCTTCCTGTGCAGTGGGCCTGAAATGAGTTTAAATAAAAATGTAAAATTAATTTCATTAGAAATCGCAAACGAATGCTCAAAAAATAATTAAAAATGTATCGTGACTACTCATCTTAAAGTCTTAGCAAATAATTAATGCTGATATTAATGTAAGTAAAAATACTTCTATTACTTACCAATAATAAAACCACAGCATGAAGACGTGATATGGCAAAAAGCATATGCCGAATATCACTACGAAAGCCAAAACGGTTACAGCAACCTTACGTCTAGCTCGAACCTAAAATGTGTAAAGTAAATATTAGAGCTTTGTATAGTTTTTTTTAAAAAGATTTTTATTTAAAAAATGACCAAAAATATGATTTATTTCCTAATATTAATTTAATGTCAAGGATGAGTAGGCTTAGTACATAAGTTGAATCGGAGACCACTGTCAGCAGTGGTAAGGAAGACTTTCCATGGCGTTAAGATTGAAAGCAAAAATTGAAGCATATCCTTAAACAGGTGGGCCATATGCAATCCGCGGCTAATGTTTGTAGTTGATCTAGTAAAACCATATTATTTTATTTTTATGGTATACCAAGTAAATGAATCTAAATTGTTGTATTAATGAAACTAGTTTTAACTTTATAACCGTGTTATAATACATAGATGAACGCATGTATTTGTTTTTTGGCGGCCCTCCATTCTGTACAGTGATTGGTGTTGGTCCGAGATTGGATCTGATCTGGACACTCCTGTCCTAAAATATGGAGTCAACGGCGATATATGTATGAGTATTAGAGGCATACGAACCAATCAATCTATCAACTTCCATTTACGCAATTGATGCAGTTAAAGTCGGATGTCTGATTCGCTTAATAAATATAACTAAATATCTTCGCTTACTAAATCTATTACCCAATGAACGCAAATACCAATATTGAACTAATCCTACATTGCTGCTCTGAGGTCTAGAAACACATATACAACTTCTAATGAAATTTGCATATATTTAGCAAATACTCTAGTATTGTTTGTCGTTGACTGGTACGTAATCTCTTATACTTTTTATTGTTTTTATGAGATTTTTTTCTTATAAAATTAGAAATCAAAAAAAAAAATTGCTTTGTAAAAATGAGTTTTATAGCTTTAGTGTGATTGAAAATCCACAATTACATCAATCAATATTAATTAATTTAATCATGTGGAAATCTTCATTTATTCAAGGTGATTTTCAAAAACCGCTTATCAATCAATACAAACACATAAAGCACTTGATTTAAGCTCATTAGTAAATATCTTAAATCTTAATATCTTTGAAAAGCATTGTTCAATTATTTCATGGAATTTTTGCTAATAATCTAATGTTCAACAAAGCAAATTCAGATTAAGAAATAAAGTTGAGCTTCTACTGCTACCTGGAATTTGATTAATAACATAACATGCTCATCACCTAATTTATCTCATGGAATGCTTTTGTATACTTGCTATCACTTACCTGTCTAACAGCACCTTGCATCTCACCCGGTATGCTGGCTGTAAACATCAAATGTTTGGCTATCAATGCGTAAAATACTCCAATTATGATGAGTGGTATAGCATAGTAGACCGAAAACCTTAACATTACCATTGTTTTGGCATATTGCATGCCCCATTCCTCAGGGAAAGGATAACAGAGTGAAAATGATTTGTTCCGATTAATTTCGATTTTCTACCCATGTATAAAAATATACAAAAAGAAAGAAAAACAAAAATGATAAGGAGGAGATAAGTGACCAGGGAAAAAACAATTTTAATTAATATAATATTTATGTCAATATCATAGAACAAATTCTATTTTACTCACTTTCACATAAGTTCCAATCAGCGCCGGTAAGCCGCATAAAATGGCTAAAATCCAAATAAAAACCGCAATTGCAATAGTCATGCGAGTTGCACGCTTTCCACCACCTACAGAAAAATACGGAAAAGCAATAAAAAATTCATTGTAAACAACGATTAGTTCTACTGTCCCGTGATTTGTTATCTAAAGCAGGATATACTATACACTATGAGCTGTATAGTGTGTGGTGTGGAGTTCACTAGCTGTTTACTGTACATACCATGAGCATGGAATTTCCTTAGGGGATCCACAATTGCAAAGTAACGATCGCCTGATAAAGCAGTAAGTGTAAACACGGACACACCAATTGACACGTCCTTAATGAACTCCGAAAGCGTACAAAGGAAACTACCCCATGGCCATGAATCCACTGTATACACGGTGGAGGTCAGTGGTACTGTTGTAATTATTACCAACATGTCAGCCAGTGCCAAAGAAAGTATATACCTGCAAGAGTGAATTGAACCAAAACCATTTTATAAATAAAGCCACAATTTGTGCATACAAAGCAGAGAAATTCTAAGCAAAATATAAAATGTAGTAAGAGTAATTTTGCTTAGCGGTTATTAAGATGTAACAAAATAAATTTTTAAATCCTATTATTTCTCAACAGGGATTCATTTTTAAAATGTGTGACTACTGGAATAACAATCAGTCATCTAAACTGAGAGGTGTAGGCACATAGTACAGTGTTAACTATCAATATGCAATGTTTTTCTGACTCTTTGAGATACTAAAAGTTACCAACTAATTTATTTATATTTTTTATTAATAAATAATTCAAAATCTTAAGGATAAGTGTATGAAAATAACAAATAAATTTTCTACCTAAAAGCTTAAATGCCATTTTCGAACCAGGAATTGTTTAAATCAGGAATTGACAAATTGATAATCATAAATTTGAGTTATCGCTGTTTTCTGGAAATGGCAGAAATGATTTAAACACATTTCGAGATTAATCAAAATTTATCTTCGATAAATTGTACGTGGTAACCACGTATATTCTGCGTTTGCAGAATACAAATCAAAGTAAAATTGAATTTTTATCAAAAAGATCAAATATCTTTAGGTAATCCCACTCAAAGAGAAGCCAAGGATGGTTATAACTCATAAGCTGCGGACAGTAAATTCAATATATAAAGCATTGACTGCGGTCAATAGTGTCCTTCATTATGAATATCTTAAGTTAAAAATAGATTAGGTTATTCAAATAAAGTGTGTATATACATATTATAGATGCTCAATGCAGTTTAAATGTATTTTGATTTATTGCTTCTCTCTCTTTAATTAAATTTTAATGGTCAAATTAACCATTAATTTTAATACTCATCGAATAATTGTATTCATATATTAGAAGTAAATGTCACATATATCATTTATCTGCCATAAGAATATATTTTAAACAATTACTTAAATGGCTTAAAATGTAGATTAAAGATATTAAATAATTAATATAACCAAAAACCAAAAAAAATAAATATATAAATATATTTTATATATATATGGTTTTTATGGTTTGTATATATATATATATATTTTTATATATATAAAAACTAAAATCAATATATATGTTTCCAAAATCTGGTACAATTCCAATTTTTGCGGGATTGGCGATTTGATGACAAATTTTAATAGAGTCAGTTATTTAGAACAATTTCTTTTGCTACGCTATATGCCAATATACCTTACCTCTTAGGATATTAAGGTTCAAGATTGTACACTTTATTCATTGAGTATATTTATAAAAAACTACACTCGTTACCTAACGTCAACTAGAATATGCACAAATATCGAATAAGGACAAGCCCGACATTTTGAAGCCCGACATTTTGACAAGTTGTCTATATTGATGCTAAACGTAGTGGAAAAAGTTTCTCAAAATAGCTTAAGTTGTCTTTATAAAAAATCTGTTGTTAAATGGGCGTATCTAGGAAAGTGGAATCCTAACAAAATTCGCTATTATAAAATAATGATCTTCAATTTAAAACAATAATGTAATGTAAGACAATTTTATTAAATTCACTGTAAATATTTACGTGCTTTCGTAAAATAAATTTTATTTAGTTTTTAATTTTCCTCTTATTTACTCGTATTATTATTTTCACCTCAATAAAATTTTTAAAATTTATTATTATTTATATTTAAATTGTTTTATAAGTGTTTGAAATGCATCAGAGCAATTTACTTTGTGCATTACTTGCAATTTTAGTTTATGCTCAACTTTTCTTCGCCAAATCCAATTACGAACTTTAACTTTTGTGATATCAAAGTTGGGGTATTCACACAAATTGTTGTGCTAAATGGATTATGTACCCAAGTTTATAGTCACATTGTGTACTAATACGGGCATGCTGCTCGGATAAGTGAGACGATGAAATTAAGCTCCAGCATTGAACTTGTTGTGACAATGGAAAATTTATAAAAGTCATGGCGACAGTACAATTATAGTTTCTCCTAAAAATCAGAGTTGACACTTGCGAGCACTCCATTACTAAGCTAGAGTCACATTATTCTAACACATTTAGTGCTCACACTTTGCTGAGGATGTGTTTCTGATGTTGTAAAATCGAATTACCAACGTTTTAAAATCCAAATGAAATTATATGGAAAATGTAAGGTTTCATACAATAAATGGGAAATTAAGTATTCCTGATCTTTAGAATTTGTAGTTGTTGGTAACCGCACTTAGTGGAAAGGTTACGAAATGTATAAAAATGTTATTTTCTGGTCATAGTAAAATAGGATGTGCACAGGATATGTGCAATATAAAAGCAATACTTAAATTTAAACTGAATGTGTTGAAATGAAAAAATGTAGTTTGAAATAAAATAAAATTATTTTAAGTGTGTAGCATAACGTCAAAGAATTGTATATGACACTTTAATAGAAAGAAGATTCTTTTCGCAATTTGGTTCTTTTATAAAAAAAAATAAAAATGTTGCAATATAAAGGATATGAAAATTACATTGTCTCTAGAAGAAAATATATTTTTAATTTTACTTGTCATTTATATAATTTAAAATTTATATCTGATATTAATTTTAGATAAGAACTTGATTTGCATAACAAATGCAATAAAGTAGAAAATATTTTTTTAAATGAAATGCACACATTATTTAAACATATAATAGTTAATGTATTGTATTTATATTAAATACATTCTAATAGGGATTATTTAAATTTTAATAACATAAGATGCAATAATTTCATTTTATAAAATTTAATATAAATATTAAATCTAAAACTGTAGTCATTATTCTATAAAAATAGCAAAAGTGCTAAATTCAAACTCATACAAAGCGCTTTTAAGTATTTATTACTACATACCATATATGTCCGTATAAAAATGCTGTAAGCAAGCATAAAAGTGTCCATTAAATTTTCAAATGTGTAATTATTGATAAAATCACAAAAGCAGTAACATATTATTATTTTATTTTCAGCTTTTAATGTAATGTATATGTGGCTGCCAATAAATCAAATAATACTCACACAGACCACATTAAAAATGTTAAATTTAATATTAAAATTTCCTTTCCATTCAATTAGCAGCAATTTTGGTGTACTCATATATATTCCTAAGTGGGTGGAAATGGGAATTGGAAGCGAATTCCAGGTTCCGTGTCACACAGAATACTATGTCGTGTTAAATATATGTTTATTTATTTATTTATATATTTCGTTTTCCACCACTATTATATATCACGTTTTTTTATGTCGGCACGTAGTACAAATAAATGACGTCATAATACTTAAATAACGTGCAATAAATTGGTACATAAATCATTTGTTTGAAAGCGAAGCAAAGCAATGTTTAGTTTATATGTAAATAAATTAAAGGTTACTCATACGCCACATAGCGTTGCTTCCTTATTTGAGAATATTAATCTTTATTTGCCAACGAATAAGTGTTTGCTTTACAGTTGACCTTTATTGTTTTTACTCCCACTATTAACATTTATATACTCTAATTTGAAATTACCGTAAAGCGCAAACAATTATGCAAACTTGAAATAAATTAAATATAAATATCCTCTGGTCAAAAAGTAGCTGACCTCTTCTGTATAATAACTTGCAGACAATCCATATGCTACCTAGTAAAGGTAACCAGAATGAGCCAGAATTTAACAAGACGCGTTTTTCATAAACTATTTCGGTTTTAATTTAACTAATAAAAGAAAAATGTATAACCCGCAGCGGCAAGTTTTAAAAATATTTAATAACTTGCAATGAGAATAAAAACAATAAGATGCAAAATTTACTACGGAGATATCACGGAATCTCATATGATATATATTAAATTGTATTTTTAATTAATAATTTTTAGCCAGCTTTTCTGTTATTTACGATTTATTGTTATTTCTTTATTTATTTTTTATGCTAATTAAGCAATTAAGAATAATTGTTCTGTAAAATAAATATATTTTAATTTTTACTTATTATTTAAAATTATTATTTATTATTATTCTGTGTAGAAAAGTGAAGTACCTTCCGCTACTTTTTGCAACTTGCCAATAACAGATGGAAAGCACTTAAGTCATAGATCCTCAGTACCCATTAAAAGAGTCCACGTGAACACTGCAAGGCTTAATGCAGTTCTATCTGGTCATTGGTGCGTAGGAACCCTTGCAGAAAAACTGCGCATTCCCCATAATCCTCACTACAGAAGTTGTAAAAACCCGCAGGAGAAAGAAACCATAATACATTTTCTCTGTGAATGCCCGGCTTTGGCGTCCAGAAGATATAGGTTCGTAGGAAGATACTTCTTTGGTAGTTTATAAGACAGTTCATCGGTGAAGACAAGAGACCTATTAATCTATCTAAAGTCGACGGGATGGATAAAATCTCTACTCTTTTATACTAGGGTTCTTGGGAGGAATGTGGTAGCAAAACGCCAAAAAACGCTAATTGAGGTAGATGGAAGTTATCTAATGGGCTGCCATTGCAACCAATCAACCAACTAGCGTAAAGGTATTTGTGTTAACGGGAGAAAATTTTTTACTAAATACATACTTTCATGATTAGTGTTAATAATTAATCAATGTTAAATAAGATAAGTGCAAGTTCAAAATATTGTTGTTTTTATATATAAAAAAATACTTCAAATAACACATAAAGGAAATAAGAGTAATTGCAGTTTTAACAATCAAGTGACAATCACAAATAACATTGAATTAACTAAAATTTATATATTTATTTGGAAATTTAAGCATCACAGCTGATTGATTTATAGTTTTGTATTCCTTAAACCACTACTAAGTATTTCTTGATTAAGAATGCTTAATAAGGGTTTCAGATTCAAAAACAATTACAAATGTGAAGTGATACAACATTTAACAAGAGCCATTGCGGATGAAGTTAACTTATAGCAATTACAATAATATAATTACGTGCACTTACGTATTTGGTACATTCCGCATTTGCCGCACAGCAAGAAAGACAACAATCAGAGTGCCATTGCCGAGGACACCAACTATAAAGATGAAAGCAAACAATACAGGTACAATATATGTTTCAGGACGTAATTGATATGGTACATATGGAGTTTCGGTAGAAGCAATGAAGAGGTCTTGTGTATTATTTGTGGTTGCATTCAGTAGTTTATTCAGGTAATCACTTCCTCCGTCATTATCGCTTATACCATCGCTACCACCCCGTTCAACGTCCATTAAAGTGCGCGTTGTGAAGCTGGTTACTGCTGTTAAAGTTGCAGCAGTTGCTAACTCCCATAGCGTCCAAGTGTTATTTAATGCTGCTGCAGTTGTCACTTCTGTGCTGGGATTGTTCATACCTAAACCGATGCTATCTGCATGTAGTCCGGCGCTAGCACTTTGTGATAGAGTTGACGTTGCTTCATATAATAATAAATTTTGCATGACTTAAGTTTGGATCTGTTTAACTATTTACTTATGTACTTGCACTTGTACGATTTGGCAAGCAGTTGTGTACAATTTTCGGTGGTTTCCCAACCAGATAAAATGCCAATGTTTGGCTTTATTTATTTTACATAGTTTAAGTGTATAGTTTTTACCATTTAAGTTTTATTTCAGTTTTCGATATACAGTTTTTAATATTTAATTGTAAAATATATATATTATTATTTAATTGATCAAGTTATTAATTTTAAAATTAGTTCATATATTTTGAATATTTATATTGCCATTATTTTTATCGCCATTTTAGTTGTTATTTAATTTTAGTGAAAATGCTGTTTTAGTAAAATGGAAAACACGAATTAAATTTGTATCTCAATTGTTCAAGCATCCTTCAAATTTACAACAAATTTAATTATATTTTTTGCTTATACTCGCATGTCTGCACTCGTATGAAGAGTTTGTCTATTATTTATACTTTATTTGTTCAACTCAATGCACTTGGGTTCATAAATGGCAATAAGTTTTTAATCCTTTCGCTTGAGTTTTTGCTTCTTCAATTTTTGAACTTTTAAAAAGTAAACATAAATGAATTTGTGTCATTCTGCCGAAGTCCTTTCATATGGCGCTCGTGAGGTTAGAGTAGATACGTTTGTCTGTGTATAAAAATTACTCTTTATTTATGGCTGCAATTCAATATTTTTTATCTTTTGTAACACAGAAATTCAGTTGACATTTTCATCTCCTTCTTCCCCTACTGCAAACTCCTGCAAACAAACAAATATAGATATTATCAAGCAGTTAAAAATTACAGATACAATACATTTTCTCATGCACAAAAAATTCATTGAATACTCGTAGTTCTTGATCTTATATGAAAAATGATTATTTGTAGGACTTTTTTATGATATCGAGAATACGTATACAAGTATCTTTTCAAAATGAATTCGAAAAAGTTTCTTCTACGCATTCTGCATTGGAATTTTAAGATAAATTGTAATTTTTGATGATTGAAGAAGATACAAAAGTATTGGTTTTTGGTATCTATATTATTGATTACAGTTTTATAGCATGTATCATCTACTTAGGCAGAGTGATTAATATACTTTTGTGGTTATTATATGATAAGAGTTGTAAGTATATTATAAAATGGTTTTTATATTCGACTAAAATATATGAACTGACACAGTTGGTGATAAACAGAAATAGATAAGCGGACATTGCTAGATTCGTATCAACGAGTTTGTCATGAATCTTTTGTGTTCATTTATTGCATTTCTCATATTATAAAACTCTCTTATTATGTGTCTTTTCTCTATTGTTTATAAAGGATGGAAAATTCGTTAGTATGTTTAAATGTCATAGTTAGAAATCCCAATAAATTCTTGTAGAGCGTATCGAGTTATATTATCTTGAATTTGATAGCCAAATGTGAAAGAAACGTATATAAACTTTTAAAGTTCCTATAAGAATACAATTTTTTTTAAGAAACTTGCATATTAAACATTATCTAGAATTCTTTAAAAATAAACCAAATTTTTTCCAAATAAATGAATATTTTTTTTCTTTATTGAGACTAATTACAGTACAATTAAAAATCGATTCTATTACCAATCTAAGATATTTATTTATTTAAACACAAATATAATTAAAAAAAAATTTTTTAAAGAAGTAATTAAAATAATTATTTTTAAAATAAAATAATACCTAAAAGACACTGTCTCGCTTAATAGTTAATAGTTCTTAAGCCTTTTAACCATTCCAGCTTACTGATATAATAGATAGGAATAGGAATAAACGGGGTACAAGCTCCCAATGGAGCGGAACACTGCGACCATGGTTGATCTTTTGTATTGCATGGTTGATCTTTTGTATTGCAACAGACCCTAACCGAACAGAAGATATTACCATCAGCCATCCGAATGAAAGCCAGAATGTAGGAAAGTAGTTTCCGTCCCAGTGACCTTCTCCTGTTGCAGATCAAGGCAGGGCAGTCACAGAGAATATGACTGGAAGTCTCGTCTGCTTCTAAGCAGAGTCGACAATCTATCTCTTCAGACAAACCCATTTTGACCAGTAGCGGCTTCGCTTGACTGAAAACGAGTTATCAATCAAAGACCTAGTTGTAGACCAACTTAATACACAATATGTCCTCGCAAGACTGTCGGCAGACTCATTACCATTGATTACTGTGTGACCAGGGAGTGACTGGAAATCATCACTTTTTTATGCCTGCCAGCTGCTGCAATGTGTCATAACAGTCTAATAGAAGCTTTGAGGAAAACTACTGATATTTGAGTATACACAAACCTGAATACTGATTAATCACTGCTGTCTTATGTGGACATATTTCTGTTAACACCACCTTTTAATAATGGTGAAATATTCTGTAACACAACTGTTAACCTTATATGCTCATTTTCAATTGTCAGAAAATTGATCGAATTACTTTTTATTAAAGCTAGATGTGTTAGAATTATTTATAATTTTAATTGGTCCAGATTAACTTAAGATAGTTTCTTTAGTGAAAGTAAATGGATTTCAAAGCATTATTATCGTCTGTTGAAATAATAAAAGGAATCATTAAGATTACGACCGGCACTCCTATAATGTAATGAAAATAAATATAAGAGATGATAAAAATTTCACTTTGTTAGACAATTATTGCATTATTTCGCATTGCAATTCTGAAATTTTTTGTTTTATCTTAAATAACTCTCTACTCTCTTTTCAATTCTTTATATACTATATTTTAAGCTTTTTCTGTTATAACATAAAAACTTGCTGTATTTACTTAACTGGCATGAATGTTATTAAAGTATATTAAAATAAATACCAGATTTAATAAAAAGCTTTAAATGTTTACTGCTCTTTCAGTTCCTTGTTAATAAAAAAAAAATAGATAAAAATTACTTTCTATAATAATAAAAGTAAACATGTGTGGTGGATTTAAGTTACATAAGTATTTCGCTCCCTGGAATAACTCTGGGAATGTGTACAAAATAATAAGGATGCACGGGATGTTTAATGTTGACATGCAACATATTGCAACGCATAGATGCACCGCTGCAACGAATCGCTTGACATGACATGACTGCTTACTTCCTTGCTTTTAATATCAGAAAAATGTTGGAAGAAGTGGTGGTAAGCATTCATATCCAATTTTAAATTTAAACCTTACACATCTGCTATTCCCAATGGCTGAATTATATGCAGCACTTGTTGTCGATAGCTGAGGAAGTATTTTCAATACGTGCAGTAAAAGTTTTGTTGCTATTTTCCTTTCGTAGAAATTTAAGTTCAACTTCAAAACAATAAAGTGTTTTGTCAAAGGAAATGAAATAATAGGGAAATGAAGCGAATTATATGAAAAAATACAACAAATTAACAGGATAAATACTATTTAATATTATTTTTAGTATGTTTCAATAAATAACAAAGGCTGCAAATTATTTCCGGCTTAAACTTTCGAACCTTAAACATTTAAAATATTTTTAATGAAATATTTTTGCTGGCATTTTGCAAATAGTTTATAAAATAAAATTTTACTCTTTACAGTTGAAAGGCAATATTTGCGGTTATCCAATTAAGAACGAAATAGTACAATTATAAAAATTAGTTTCAGAGTTTCAATATTTATTTTTCAATATTTGTTTAATAAGTTTGACACTAGCTAAAAATTAAATTAAAATCTATATTAAAGGAAATTAAAATTTTATTTATTTTATGACCTTAATATTCACTAATTTTTTATCACAGATTTTTATTCGGCAATTTCACGGATTAAATATTGATAGACTTAGTAGGATTGATTGATATAACCTAATTATTCAATTATCTTTAACATATACCTTAATTAAATTTTACTTAAACTGTACTCAGTAGATCAAAAAAACCAGAAACCTCCACAAGTCTTGTACACAGCCAATAGCCTGACCGTAAGACTTGCAGCTTCTACATTCTTTTTATAGCATTATTTATTATTAAACTATTTTATATCTATTTATAAAACAATTAAGCACATATATTCATATATTTTTAATTTAATTACCAATTAAATAGAACCAATTTTTATCAAATATAATAAAATAATATTTTTTACAGTTTTGCTTATGTGGTTTTGTAATCTGATGAAATTAAATTTAATTAAATTTGTAATATGTTTACTAATGTATTTAACAGGAATTAAATACTTAAATTTAATTCTTTGTTAATGTAATAAACAATTATTTTAATAGTTATAAATAAAAAGTTATATTTACGTAAATGATGAAAATTTATTTTTAGAAGTCAAGTGGTCAGCAGAAATTATAATGCAGAATGGAAAATTAAAAGTTTAAATATATATCTTAAACAAATATAGTAATTTAATCCACAATTGACAATATATTAGTTACATTTGTGATATTATTGCTTGCCAATAAATAGTAATGTACCGAAAGTAATTTCTAAGACGAATCTTCTTCTCAAATAATTTGCAACAAAATATCTATTGCCATTAAAGAAATCAAAATGTTCTTTGCAAAATTGAACAAAAAAAAAAAATAAAATATACGAAGAAATTTGTTAAGATATAAAAACTTTTTTAATAAAATATATAAATATACAATATGAATAATAAAATGGAATTAGAACATAATTATATGAAGATTATTATATTACCAGAAAGCAAGGATCAATTATCAAAGAAAATCATTTGCTTGTTCTGAGAAATTACTTGAAGCAAGTAATAAGCCTTCGGAATCATAATTAACTTGCACAGAAGTTTTTTTGAATAAAGTTCATTACAGAATAAAAGTTGTTATGTATTTATTAATACGTATCAGATCGATATTGAAGCAGGATACACAGTCCAATTTATATAGAAGGTAAATTTGTACCAATTTGAAATAAGTTTTTTATCTAAATCATGTTATCGCTATATAAAAAAGTTGCATTTATTTTAATAAATATTCTAACTAAATTCTTTTATTTAAGCTTATAACAAACATTAACTCGATGCATGTATACTCATTCATATATTGTGTAAAACGCGACATTCTTATTGAAATAGAACAGTGAATTTCAACATGTTTTAAGTAGTGGAAACCAAAACTAATATTTAATGCGTAAAAAACTTACAATGTGTTCTATAATTA